CCAGGGAGGCTGTGGAGTCTCCTTCTCTGGAGATATTCAAACCCCATCTGGACAAGGTCCTGTGCAGCCTGCTCTGGGTGACCCTGCTTGGGCAGGGTGTTGGTCTGGGTGACCGGGGTTGGACTGGGTGACCCACAGAGGTCCCTTCCAACCCCGACCATTCTGTGAAGAGGGGATCACCTCTCCCTGGTCTCCCTACCTGCACGTTTTCCCTGCCTCCCTCTGCCTACAGCCCTCGCTGGAAGGCCAGATCCGTCGGGGACGTGCAGCATCGCCTGCACCCACCTCCACGGGGCCGAGCGATGCTGGAGCCGGGGCGCAGAGTCCGAAGCGGGGCCCTGCTCCGGTGCTATTCCTGGCTCTGGCATTGACTCACTGCATTACTTTGGGCAAAGCGCTCCGAAACGTGCCCAGCAGCGCTTCCCCACGTCGGGGGCAGGCTGCTCGTCGTCGTCGCCTCTGCGAAAACGCACCGAGAGCGCCGGCGAAGAGGTGCAAAGAAGTGTTAAACCCGGCTGGTGATTCAGGGAGTGGCAAGGGATGAGCTGTAAGGTTCAGGTTGGAAATAAAATAGGGGATGGAGAGAGATGGAGAGAATTATCAGAACGTGGAAGTGGTGAGTGGGATCCAGTTATTCGCTGTTTCTCATCTCACGGGAGCTTGGGGCAGCCCAGTGCGATGGCCAGAAAGCGGGTTTCTGGCAAACCAACGGCAATACGTAGCCCTGCAGTGCTGCATGAAACGGGAACTCAGTGTTTCTGGACATCACGGGGACCAAGACTGATAAACAGGTCCAAAATAGCCCATCTGCAGCAGCTAAACACCCGCCTGGCCGCGGTGCTGTGCAGCCTGCTGTGGGTGACCCTGCTTGGGCAGGGGGTTGGACTGGGGGACCCACAGAGGTCCCTTCCAACCCTGCCATGCTGGGATTCTGTGTAAACACAACCCCCACCCGCTGCTTAGGGGATCTGCTGGATGCTGGTGGGATATGACCAAAGGATGGACCACGGGGTCCTTGCTCTGATCTTCACCTCTCCTTGGCTGCGTTACCTGGACCCATCAGACCTTGCTCGCTCTCGTTTTATCTGGCTGTGCCGCATTTGAACCGGGATGTCAGGCTTTAGGACGCATTTTTAGAGGGGCCTCCGGTCTCTGAGCTGGAGTCCCAGAATCACAGAATGGCAGGGGTTGGAAGGGACCTCTGTGGGTCACCCAGCCCAACCCCCTGCCCAAGCAGGGTCACCCAGAGCAGGCTGCACAGCACCGCGGCCAGGCGGGGCTGGAATATCTCCAGAGAAGGAGACTCCACAGCCTCCCTGGGCAGCCTGGGCCAGGGCTCCGTCACCCTCAGAGGGAAGAAGTTCTTCCTCG